CTGTTCGGCAACAGCCCTCTGAGCAACCTTCCCACATTCGACCAGCTGAGCGAGAGGCACCGGCACTCCCACAAGCACCGCCGTCAGCAACAGGACGGGTCAGGGAAAGACAGAATCGCGCGACGAATCTCCGAGGATGCTTCAAGTGTATCGTCGGAAGGTTACCATACAGACCCTGCCGTCCGCGCGGAACCTTCCTGGACGGTGCGGTCAATGGAATCAGCTGCTTCTGTTCCTCCTGTTCTCCAGACGGTTAAAAGTCCCGCGCATCCTGCTCCGTATCACCCGCAGCGGGGCCACCTTGCCGGCGTTGCTGCCGCATCTGCCGCTCCTTCCGCGCATGGAGCTCCAGAAGCAGCGGGTTCGACGCTCAAACACCCCCCGCAGTTCCCCCAGGCGCTGCGGAACTGCTACTCCGCCCCGCAACCCGGCGAGTCGGAAACCTGCGTGCTCTCGCGACAGCTCGCCGGCGCGCGGGAGATTAAAGTCATGGCTCGCGACGCGGCGGTATGCGGCTCCATGGTTGAAATGGGAGCAGCGAAAGTACTGTTGTCGATTGTAGACGGGGTGGTAGAGGCGGAGGAAGGAAGGGAGTTGATGAATTTGCGGTATCAGGTTGCCGAGGAGGCAACTGCAGCGCTGCTGAACTTATCTCTAGATAAGACTGCCAAGCACATGATGAGGAGCCATGGCATCATACCCACCATTGTGAGGTTGGCTGACATCACACGCAGCAGTCCGGACTGCCATGACGGTGCCAGTGGTAATGCTCGTAATTTACCCAACAATGCCCAGCAGAATGACATCAGCAGCTGTTCTGACGGTAGCGCCGGGACCCCCACCTCCACCCGCACCAGCTCCGCGCATATTCCTCTTCGAGAGCTCGCAGTGGCGGTTATCCACAGTCTTGCACAGTCAACAGCGTTGAAAGAAGATCTTGTGGATCAGTGGGTGGTGCAGCCGCTGGTAGGCCTGTTGAGGGAGCCAGCATGCAGCAAGGAGGGACAGAAGGACGCCTTGTACGCGCTCTACCTCTTATCTATGTGCGAGTCTGGGAGGTTGGATTTTCATATCGCGGCGCCGTGCCTTTGCTGCTGGAGGTGGCCCTGTGCGGTACGCAAAGAAGTGGCGATCTGTATGCGAAGCAGTCAGGGAGATTCTTTGACAAGGCCATTCATGCAGTGGCGAATGTATCGGAAGAGCGATCGGGACTTATTGCTTTGGTAAGCAGCAAAGTTAAATACTGGTCTAGTGAAGCTGGTGCTGCTGGCTCTGATGGCTGCCCTCAAATTGGACATGGAAGCTGTGTCGAAGTTTCAGGACTGCAAGGGCTTTTCAAGCTGCTTGCAAATGGGAGCGAGGTGACGAAGCAACATGTTGTTTCGACTCTGCACAGGATTGTCAGAAATGCTGGGCAATGCGGTGCCCAAGTTCTGGATGAGATCTGGTCCTTGCGGCTAAAGGAGAAGCCGAGGCCACATTTGGAGGCTTTAGCAACTGCTGGATCGCTCAAAGCCCAGCAACTCTTGATGGTGTTGTTTCCTGCCAAGGTGGCTAAATAAGCAGCTAAGAGCTGACTTCTCTTGTGCAGGTTTGATCCGCTATTAGATCAGCTGGAAGGGGCTTTTGGTTGACTTCCCTGGTGTCTGTAACCTGATTGTATAAATTCAGTTTAGATGGGCTGACAAAGTTCTGAAACGCAATTATACAGGATTCCAAATCCGCTTATACGTCGCCTCGCGTGCCTGCTACCTTTCGCACCTTCTCAGTCGGTGCAGGGCGCAGTCATATCCCCACCCACCCCAATCCCACTAGGCCTTTCCCCGTGCGCTACGCGCAGAATGAGGAAGCCAGTGGGGTCGGAAGATTTGGGCCAATGAAGTGCGGCGTACCCTGCTTGCCTCCACCCCGCTGGGTGCACAGTTCCTTCGAGCGTGGCTCCATTTTGCCTCCCCTTGGTTCGAACCGTTGACCGTTCGAGCCGTAAGGTGGTTACTGTTTTCGTCTGTCTTTTCGCGAGTATGCATGCGACGTCGTATACACACCGCTTCGGGGTGTCACTTTTCCCGCTTTTGTCAGGCCGAAACTGCGGTTCATTCGCCGTTCGTATTCCGAACGGACGAATCAACAGTACTCTACAGTTCTGCATTCTGGTTGGCACGCGAATATGGCAGGAATTCGAGAGTGATGAGTTGGTTTCGGCATTTGAATTCGAGCCGCGTTTTTTGAGTGGCGAAAAAACGAAATTCATAAGAGGTGTTACGAATGCACAGTAAACTGATATTTCGAAATCTTGAATAATGTGTCTCCCCGTCGTCCGTTCGTGCTTCCGTCCGCTTTTCGTCCGCAAAAGGTTCGCTACGCGCTAAAAGGACAGTCCGCTATTTCTATAGCGAACTTCGGGTTAAAGTAAAATGGAGCCACGCTCTAAGAGCTGTATGCTGTGCACGTTGACTCCAGTGGCCAACAACCATTACAATCGTCGCATATCTACTTCTGAACGGTCTGGATTTATCTGTATGCTGCTTGATTTTTCGGACTAGGACCAATGAAATGCTGCAACCACGGCATCAAAGCCAGGTGGGCAGATTGGAGGCATTGGGACGGGTGGGACCATCTCATTTCACCCCTTGATCTGATCGAACCAATCAACTTTCTATTCAAACCACTCTAACAACATGAAGCGCCTTTATGACACACCTGTTCCTCTTGCTTGTATCAAGTGTCATACATACAAGAATCTATCCTCGAGTCTCCATAGACCATCCCAAGAGGCCTAAACTTTCTCGTTCACCACCAGTAGAGTCTGAAGTTAGTGTCTCACAGGGAGAACTTCTCGTACTTCGATTGCGCGTCGCATGAAGTGCGTTCTTAGTAATGCGTAGCCGCTGACGCTTTGTCAGTACTAGAAGTATGAACGATTTACCCGTTCATCCACGAGTGCAGGTTCCTGGCTTTCAGAAAAAACTTCTCAGGGCGAACCGAGTCAAAGCTGCACTAGAAAGCATCAGGACTGGAGACCGCAGCAACAACAACAACAGTTGCAGCGATGGTTCCAGCTCCGGAGATGTAAGTTCTACCGCGCATCGAACCAGGCTAAGGGACAATGAAGAAAGTTTGCCGGCTCTTCCGGATACTTATGGCTGTCGTTTCAATGCTCAAGACAATCACGTGAACTTCTCTGCTCTAACAAATAGCTACGAGAGTTCTGTCACCATCGGGTCTACTGTACCAGCCGCTGGTTCTTCTCATCCTCCTCTCCCCCCTCCTCCTTGTCCTACGCCTCCTGAGGTTCCAGGCGGTTACGCTTTCGGTAACTCCGCTGGTCACAGCTTCGGTCAGCCAACAAGCCACGGATTTTCTCCTTCAATATCCCGCGACTTGGACGGTCCCTCTGCTTCCCGCTCCACTCTTGCTCCCACCTGTTCCGAAGCCTCTTGCCGGAGCATCAGCTCCCGCACGGACACTACTGACACGGGATCGCTGAATTCTCCAGCTTCTTCGAGCCGATACCCCGCGCTCGTGCGACCAGTGCTATCAAACGATTCGGTAGCGGAGGTACGGGCAACGTGCAAAGCCACCATGTAGGGAGGCAGCGGATGGGGCAGCTGCTGCGAAATGCTGTAACCAATCTGGTTACGCCGTGTGAGATTCAGAATCATAATCGTGCTCCACCTGCTGCTGCGACCGCCGCTGCTGCTGCCGCCGTTGCAGCTGTACACCCACTCCCTGTCAAAGATTCACACCCGCCACCTATACCCTCGTCATCCTTCCCTTCCTCACCGACCCCTTCATCACCCACCTCTTCGACATCAATCCCCTCCCCCGTCGCTCCCCGCTTATCCTCTTCCTCAGCATCCTCCGCCCATTGCCCTTCCTTCCCCTCCCGTTCCCCCTTCCCTCCGCCTACCCCCTCTCCGCCCTTCAGACTTTGCCCCTCTCCCGCCGTCGCCATACCATCCCTTTCCGAGCTGCATCTTTCTGCTAGAATCTCATCGGGCCTCCGTTCTTCTCGCCTTCCGTCTACCCCTTCTCGCCTTGTCAATCCTGATGTAGCTGCCTCTGCTGAGCCTACGTCGCCGCCGTCTCTTCCGCCGGGTTTTCAGCGGGCTTTACTGGACTGCTGTGCTTGTAGGGACCCCGGCGAGACCAGTACGGCGGTTCTAGAGAGGCAGATAGGAGGTGCACGGCAGATCAGACATATGGCACGGGATCTAGAGGGGTGCAGAGCGGTGATGGTGGAGAAAGGAGCGGTGGGGGCGCTGTTGCCTCTGCTAGATTGGGCTGAAGGCGGACCAGGGGTACAACCGTGGGTAGGCGAGGATGGGGGAAAAGATATACTGGGGTGTAAGAGTTTACTGAGAGATTCGAGGCTGAAAGTAGTGGAGGAGGCAGCAACAGCGCTGCTTAATCTCTCCATTCACCCTTCAGCAAGGGAACTTATGTTCAGCCTTGGGGTTGTCAACCCGGTCACGCAAACGCTTGGGAGTAGGCAAGGCGGATTTCCACGAAGCAGCAGCGGGAGCAGTGGCGAAATTCCGAGTAAGTCCAGGGCTAGCTTGAGTGATAGTGTCGCTGTTGTGCCTGTCCATATTAGAGAGATGGCAGCAGCGCTTGTTTTCAGCCTCTCTCAATCGGCTGAGAATAGAGCCGAGCTAGTGAGGTGTGGTGCAGCCGAGGCTCTGGTTCAGTTCCTACAGGAGCCACAATGCAGCAGTCAGGGAAGGAGGGACGCTTGCAAAGCATTGTCAAACTTATCAACCCTTTCAGTTGGGAGACTCAGCATGATTCGAGCAGGAGCAGTGCCGGTGCTGCTGGAACTGACCCTGATGGGCCATGCTGGGGATGAGTACGTATCTGAGAAGGCCTTGGGGGTGCTTGCTAACGTGGCAAGGGAGGAGGCAGGAAGGGAAGCCATAGTTAATTCACAAGTTAGAGATGGGGCGTGGGATTGGGGTTCTGGAAATCTTGAGCTTCATGAACCCTCTGAAAGCATAAGGATGGCTTCAGGGTTGAGTATTCTTTTGGAGTCACTGGATAGTGGCACGGAGCGAAGCCATGAGTTTGCAGTTTCGGCTTTGCTGTATGTTGCAAGGAGCAGCCAGAACTGGAAGGAGCTGTTGCTGTCGGAGGGGCCTCTTCCATCTGTAAAGGCTGTTGCCATGCGAGGCAGCCCTCGAGCAAGACACAAGGTAGGTGTTAATATCTCGCTGTTTCCACGCTTGAATGCAGCTGGATGCACTTGGGGAGGGATCATGGTAGTCTTGTCATTTGGTGACTCCGTGTATTGCATCCGTCTCAAGAGATATACCCTCTTCCATGCCCTTTTCCTATCATTGCAGGCGCAGAAGCTGTATGACCTTCTAAGGGGTTGATGCTTTATGTTGACCATCTGCGCTGTGGTGCAGGAATCTGTTTTGTATGTACAGTGCAGTATTTATTATGATCAGACGTGTGACTGGTCTTTAATCAATCGCAACTGGGATCTTGCGTTATGTGTTGAGCTTTGGTTGGAACAGTGGTCAAGTTCGACCTGTGTTGGCACATTACTCACTGGAGCTTAGCTCTGAAGTGTATGCAAGCAAAGCAACACTGTACTAGACGATCTAGTGAATCTCCTAGCTAGCACTCAGTGGCCCTAAATATCTCCTCGCATTGCCGCTGGCTTTTTTTTTCTATTTAATCTGAGCTAGTGCCTCCTGGCAATGTATGTTTCCGTTGCCCTCACTTAGTGATTCAGTTGCATTCTATCATTTCCCAGGAAATGTTAACGGTTTCTGCATAACGGTTGCTGCCATGGTCCGTCACACTCGACTCGACCACACCAAAAATCGCGAAGATGACCAATCACGTTCAGTGACGTGCGTCGTATGGCTCCGCCCCCGTCAGAACAGAACAAACACACCCCCCAAATCTCCCTCCCCACCCTCCCCACCCTCCCCCATCTTTCCCCAATCTCCCCCGCCCCTACCATTCCCCCCCTCCAACCATCTCGCCTGGTCTTTGTGTCAACAAGACTACAACGTTCCGTGCGTGGCGAGAGTCTAGAACTGCCTTAACTCGCCTTGAGTGTAAGGTCGAGTTGGAGAAACTACAATCAAAACTCTACTCCTCACTCTCGAAGTTCTCATTTTTCCAGCATTGCTCGTCGCTACGAGCCATAAACTCCAACGCAATCGAGCTCATGTATAAGAGGATCGAGGGGCTAGAGGAGTAGCATACCCATGTTTTGGCAGTCCGCCCTTCATCAATCGCCCATTCGCCAATCCACCCATCAGAAGGACAGCCGTCGCCTCTCAACGGGGGCACCGCGATGGAGCATCGAATGTCGCCATTGCAGCACCATCTCTTCGCCAACAGCCCTTCGCCGCTGCGTCATCTGGTCGGCAACAATCCTGGGGACAAGTTTCCCACATTCGAGCAGCTCGCACCCAGACAGGACGAGTTCGCCCGACGAATCTCTGAGGATGCTTCCAGCGTGTCGACGGCCGCCCACGATGCCCACGCCGAAACTTCCTGGACGGTGTGGTCAGCGGAGTCAGTGGTTTCTGTTCCCGCTGCTCTCGCGACGTTCCAAAATCCCGCGCATCCTGCTTCGTATTACCCGCAGCCTAGCCAGGGGACCGACGTTGCTGCCGCATCTGCCGCCGCTCCTTCCGCTCATGGAGCTCCTGGAGCCGCGGGTTCGCTGCTCACCCAACTCCCCCCGCAGTTTTTGGAGACGCTGAACTGCTTATCCGCCCCGCAACCCGGGGAGTCGGAAATTTTCGTGCTCTCGCTACACCTCGCCGGCGCGAAGGATATGAAACTCATGGCTCGCGACGCCGCGGTATGCAGTTCCATGGTTGAGATGGGAGCAGCGGAAAAGCTGGTGTCGATTGTAAACGGCGTGACAGGAGCGGAGGAAAAAAGGGAGTTGATGGATTTTCGGTATCAAGTTGCTGAGGAGGCAGCTGCTGCGCTTCTGAATCTGTCTCTAGATAAGACCGCCAAGCACATGATGAGGAGCCATGGCGTCATCCCTTGCATTGTGAGATTGGCTGGCGTCACACGCAGCAGCCCAGCCAGCCACGATGACGCAGACGCCAGGGGTAGTCACGACTTACTGTACAACGCTCAGCAAGTTGACATCAGCAGCCGTTCCGACAATGGCGCCAGCACGCCGAGCACCAGCGCCGCGCGTTTGCGTCTCAGAGAGCTCGCAGTGGAGATAATTCATAGTCTCGCTAAGGCGCCAGCGCTGAAAGAGGAGTTAGTGGATCAGTCCGTGGTGGAGCCGCTGGTAGGCCTGCTGAGGGAGCCAGCATGCAGCAACAAGGGACGGATGCACGCATTGTATACGCTCTACCTCTTATCAATGTGTGGACCTGGTAGAATGGCTCTTGTCGATCGAGGCGCTGTGCCTTTGCTGCTGGAGGTGGCGCTGTGCGGTACACAGAAAGGCAGCCATCTGTATGCAGAGCAGTCGGATAGGTTCTTTGACAAGACCTTGCACGCACTGGCAAATGTTTCCGAGGAGCAATCAGGGCGTTCTGCTCTGTTACACAGCAAAACTGAATACTGGTTTGGTGAAAATGGTGCTACTGGCTCCTACGTTTACCCTCAAAGTGGGCATGGAAGCTGCATTCAAGTTTCGGGACTGCAAGGGCTTTTCAAACTGCTTGCAAAAGAGTGTGGAGGGACGAAAAGTCATGCTGTTTCAATTCTGCATCGGATTATCAGAAATGCTGGGAAAGGCAAACCTGGTAGTGAGCAAGTTTTGGAGGAGATTTGGTTCTTGCTACAGAAGGAAAAGCCAAGGAGACATTTCGAGGATTTAGCAAATGCTGGATCTCACAAAGCTCAGCAACTTTTGATGGTCTTGTTTCCAGTCGAAGTTGTGAAAGAAGCAGGAAAACGATGATTATTGAGTCAGCTGAGGGCTTATGTGCGTCTGTAATATGGTTGTACATATATCCAGGTAAAGCCGCTTTCCTTGTCCAGAAGGAATTTTCTCGATATTCCTTAGCGCACCCTGCAACATCGCGTACAGCAGCAGCCGTTGTTCGCCCGTTACTGCTAACGGGGCTTCGCCGACTTCGCGCGCACTGTTTCACCAAACCTCGCACTGCTGGCTTGGCCGTGTCGGCCTACGCTTCGGGACTAGCCCGAGCCTCGCTTCCAGCGTAGCACTAGCTAGCTCGCACGCACCGCGTTACCGTTTGCATGTTTCGCGTATAAATGTTCGCTCACGCCTTCGCTCACATTTGTACTCGTTTGACACCTTAGTGCAATTCTAGCTACTTCGATTCATTGCACCCGTAACACTTGGTATCAGAGCCTCTTTCCTTTTCGGACCGCGCATCTCCGCACCCCAGGAAATCAACTTCTGATTTTTCACTCGAAGGGACTCACGTACCTTAGCACCTAGGAGCCGCTGTCCTCGCGTTCTCTCGTAAACGCGTGCAGCCACGACTGCGCCTAGACTAACGAGCCGACGCCCTTCGAAATGGCTGAACATATCGACGTCACGACTCTCACGCAGGAGCACTTGAACGATCTGCTGCGACAAATCCGTGAGAGCGCCGAGGAAATCGCGACGCTGACGGCAGAACGCTCGTCCCTGCAAAATGACCTCACACGAGCACAACAGGCACAATCTCAAGCACCTGGCACTCCGGAACAGCCCGCACCACAGGCATCACAACACGGAAGCGTGGGGCAACCCGCGAGCGCGGCCAGTGATGGCGTCGTCCGCCCCTACGGAGACGACGACCACGGCACGACACACCCCGAAGCGACGAATGCGGCCCGAAGCCAGCCACGCGTCACAATTTCGGCACCAACCGACGGTTCGGCACTGCCGTCACCGATGCCGCTGAAGCCGCAGCGTCCGCCATGCTTCGATCCCAGCCAACGGGGTGGTCCTACCGTTCAGGCGTGGTTGTTCACGATGAACGTGTTTTTCGACGCCAACTACGTCTCGGAGGATACGGCGAAAATCCGCTACGCCGTGTCGTTGCTGCGAGGACCCGCCATGGATTGGTGGCGCGTCATCGTCACGAAGCCGTTAGACTACGCGACTCTACCGACACGGGAAGGACAAACCGGACCCTGGGCGCCGTCGTATTTCGTGGAGGTGCCCCAGTATCGCACGTGGGACCCGTGGTGCGCAGGTCTGCGCGCTCGTTTCGAGCCAATTGCGGCTTCGATCGCGGCGCGACAGAAGCTCCGCACTTGGCGCCAACTCGGTTCCGTCCAAGACTACACGAGCGGATTTCAGGCGCTATGCGAGCAGGTGGGATATGTGCGCGAGAGCGAGCGCATCGACCGCTACATCGGCGGCCTGAAGCAGGACATCGCTCATGAAATCCAGCTTCGCGGCGTCACCGACTTTCAAGAAATTCTCGCTATGGCGGAGAAACTTGATTTCTTCCGCCGACCGAGACCGGGGTCCTACGGAAGCAGCAATTGGGGACATCGGCCTCGTGGGACGAACGAGGGCACTACGATACGTGCCGTCGCTGCAAATGCCGCTGCCGCACCGTTCAAAGGGCGCTGCTTTGCGTGCAATCGGCCGGGACACCGCAAGAGCGAATGCCCGGAAAACGCTAAGGGAAAGGGGGAAGCTGAGCAGCAGAAACAGACCAAGCAGCAGGGAAACTCTGGGAGTCAGTAGCAGACGGGCCCTCTACTGACAGGTCACGCCGCTCGCCCGACCCAACCGACCCTCACCGAGTGATTGTGCCGGTTCACGCAATCGACCACACCCGGCCGAATAAGGAGGGGACTACGGTAGACAGCCCCATACTGCTTAGTGGGAAAATTGGGACGGACTTAGTAAAAATCTTCGTAGACGGGGGAGCCAGCCACAGCCTCATCAACACTGCCACAGCACGAAAACTGCGACTGCCACTGGACAGATGTTTACCTGAGATCGACGCAAGACTGGTAGACGGCACGCCGCTGGCGATACGGGAACGCGTAGACCGGGTTCGGATTCGATGTGGGGGTAACTTCACGTTTAGTCAGGAAATGCTCGCAATGACCCTCGACGGAACCGATATTTTACTCGGGCGTGATTGGCTGCGACGATACAATCCGCGAATCGACTGGACGACGGGTGACTGCACCGTGCGAGTGAACGGTAACAACATCGCCTTACCTCGCTGGGGCTCGCCTGAGTCTTCGTCGGTGCGTGTCAACGCGATCACGATGAAACGCGCCGTAGCGGCAGGAGCTGACGTGTACGCGGTCGACATTCGGGAAGCCGAGGCAGCAGACAAAGGAGGGGATTTACAGAAACTGCTGGCCGACGTACCGAGTGATCTGGCAGCACTGTTGAAGCAGTACAGCGACATTTTCCCGGACGATTTATCGACGGGACTGCCACCTC